AAAAATCCCTACCAAACATACTCATATTTGGGACAAGAGAAAAAGGAAACTTAGCCTATATAATTGGAACGGAGAGAGTATATTTTTATGCATGGAATCTTGAAAAGGCACATACAGAGGAGACCGGAGGAGGAGGAGGACAACACGCCTACGTAAACATACTCAATATCGACAGCAATCCAAACATCGAAAGTGTAGCTAAACTATGAAAACATGGTGTGGGTGGGTTTGTGGGGTGTGGTAAGAAGAGTGTAGAAGCAATGGTTGTTTATAAATACCCTCACACCTTTCTTCAGAGACATACCGTAAGCATAAGAATATAGAGAGAGATTTATACAAAAATTAATATCAGAAGAGATGAATCCTAACGAAAAAAAGAGCAGCTCCAGTGCAACAAAATTCGTCAAGATCGGAAGTGTTTTTCCTAAAAAAAGGGTACGCGTTTCGACTCTGGTGGGAAGGAAAATTGTTAAGGCCGGAAAGAAAGCGATCGAGTCTGTCTTTGACGCTGTCAAGGAGCACAAGGATAAAAGAAAGACTGCTGTTGATGCTGTGAACAAGCACGATGACAAAGCTAAGGTAACTCATGGCGATTAGAATATGCAGTTGATATAAGCTGCTTCAGAATAAGAGCAAGTGTCTATGTAAGTGATTTTATTTTAATTCTGTTTCATCGAGTCCTGCAGGTTGCCTCCTAATTCTTGTATACATTGCTGGGGTTTATTATAAATAACCACGTTTCCTTCGCTTTCATGCATCTGAATCCTAAATCAGCTAGTTGTATACATTTCTTCTTAATTCAGATTTTATTATGTTGATTCAGCAAGAGAGAGTGAGAGAGAGAGAATCTAAGATGTTGTTGTTAAGTAGTATTAAATGGGAAAAAGATATACTTGTTTAAGTCACACCATGTTTTGTCAAGCTTATAAAGTTTATATAAAGAAAGTTTTAAAAGGAAATATTTCTTGGTTTACACCATTCACACTTCTTTCCCAACTCGCATTAAAGATTTACCTACATCAGGGAGATGGTGATAGTGGAACCGAAAGCAAATATTCTTGAATAGCCCTTTAGCCTTCCCCACACAGCACTACAATCTCACTCTGCATATATCAATCAACGCTCATGTCTTTGTTGCTCCCCAATTTGTTCATACTTTTTGCTCACAGATCTCAATATATTCATCAGAATCCATAATCACTGCAATCTAAGACACGAAGATCTACCAAAACATTAGCTTCAGATCGAGTTTTCTTGCTTTTTACTAGGTAAATCCATCTCTTCTTTACCAAGATTTGAAATTTTTTTAGATTCATTTTGTTACAGTATGAATTACTTATCAAGATTTTGAGGACCCATTGGCAAGAGTCCTGCAATTTTTCAACTTAAATTTGCATCCACTTTTTTATTTACGTATTCAAGATACTTTCTTGTTTTCAAATGTTCTTTCTCGTATATGTGTGTAGTCTGCCTTTTTCTGGTTGGAGTTACATATTCTATGTAAAAGGACTTGGTCAGATCGTGAAAATAATTCGAATGAATTGCTCTTTTTGGTTATTTTCTTTTTTGAGATTCAAGGAAAATTAGGTTGACGATATATAATAGGGATGGGTGTTTAACAGCTTTCCATTCGATAATTCTGAGAGTCCTCATTTCCAAGTAATTCCTTTTTCCAAGATGCAAGAGAGGTGTAGATGATTATATCTTTCTCCCAACTATTTCATCTTTCGGGTTGGACGTAGGAAGAGTTAATTCCAATCTTACTAAGAAGAATTACCCAATTACCCGAGTTGTGAAGTTTATACGTAAATGTGGTGTTGGTCCTTTGGACTACCTTTCCTTGACTCATTGGTATGGATAGGATTTTTGTTTTATTTTTTGGAGACTGCTAGTTCTATTAGCGACTATAGTTTTCTCTTCTTTTCTCTGTCCTCTATTTAATTTTTAGTTCTACGTTGATTGGGGGATGTGGAGGGCTAATATCATTTTGGTGGAATCCGCGGTGGAGGTGTTGCTGGCATGGACGCATGGCAAATGGTCTGCGGCTGGGCTGACAATGATCTTTGGTAGGTGATGTAATACACTGAGTCATGTTGATGACGTGAATTATATTAAAATCTGACCGACTTTTAGTTGGTGGGACGTCCTTTTCTTTTCTTCTTTTTTCTTTTCTCTTTCCCCCTTTGGGTAGTGCTACGAGTAAAGAAAGTGACTTTACAGGCAAGTTACAGGATTTTAAAATTGGATGATGTGGCACTGAAAAACAAAAAAAAAAGGGATATTGAAATAAAAGGAAAAAAGAGAATGAAAAGAGGGGAACCCGTGAAATGGAGAACTTTCAAAATCTTCCTACTCCTTCTCGCCTCAACTCTCTCGTGGGAATTGGATTACCGGCGATTGGACGTGGACGGCGAGGGCGACAGCGATATATCCAACCGTAGCATTCTGTTGATATCGAAATTGTGGCGGGAACTGATACTCCTAATACGACTTCAATAACATCCTCGGAATCAACAAAGACACGTGATAATGCTGGTTTTGGTAGAAATGGCAGAGCATAGGAAGGATCTGGAAAAGAAAACAAAACCGATTCTTGACACCCGGAGAAGCTACCAAGATTTGCCTCCCGTAGTGCCCATTTCTTGCTAACAATATGCCATTTTTGCTCCTTCTCAGTTCTCTTCGAGAGAAATTGATTTTGGCTCTCAATTTGTATAGGATAAAGCTTTGGCTGCATTGGAAATTGAGGACAAGAAAAGGCTGTATATTGATGCTGAGAAGTATCTTGAAGATGTTTTGCAGTCACCTCTTGAAGATTCTCTAAAAAATTTATCAATATTAATTGCAAAGCTTCGTGATAGCTTCAAATTATTAGTGTTGAAGTCCTAGGAGCATTCGTAGAATCCTAGATACTAAGCCAGTTTGTAGGAGCCAAATATGACGAGTCTCAATCCAAAGGAGTTCTGTTGATATTGCTTGTAAACTTTGTAGACCGAAGTAGTAAACGGAAGGTTTTATTTTGACATTAAAAACATGTTCAGCTTGAATGCACTTTGTTGTTTCTGTTTTGTTCATGTTTGAGTTCGGTTATGTTGGATTCAAATTTGTATGAATATGGGAATGAGGTGTGTAATGTTGTCAATTATGAGTTCAGTTTTGTTCAATTTTGTTCAATTAGGAGTTCGATTTTCAGTTTTGTTCATCTATCCCTTATGTTCATATGTCTATTTACCACACAATGTTGCAGTTCTCTTGGGTATCACCTTTTCATTTATAATACATAGCAAATGCTTAGCAGGATTAAAGATCCAACCTGTAAGTGGGGTTTTGGATCTGTTG